TTTATGAGAGAGAACACACACACACACACACACACACACACACACACACACACACACAGCGACACTGAGTGTTCTGATTAATTCGGACCAGACTGCATTGGTGGTTATTGGTTCTATGTTGGTTTCGTTTTGTAGTTTTATAACAGTGTGATCAATACAACTTTTCAGACTGCAACAATGTAAAAAAAAGACCTATTAAAAAGTCTTACTGAAGAACTTTTAAGGCCTAAATTCAGGTTACTGGATTTTAGCCAAAGTGACCCCCATATGTGGTCCAAATCAGACACAGGTTTTTGCAGTGTTACCTTAACACTTAAAACTTTAAACTTACTTTAAAAAGTAATGTGAACCGCCAAAAACATGAATAAAACCATAGCAATAAATGTGTGAACGTAGCCTCCGTGTGTGTACTCACCTCCTTGGCTACAGTGTGCCAGTGCAGGTGGCTCTCACACTGGTCCATGCGCTCTTGGTGCAGGAACTTGCACTTGTCAGGAACGAGCAGGGCGTCACTCACGAACTCTCCTACTGCAGCGAAAACAATATCCATATTTATAATTCATACACAATGGGCAGCTTCAGTCGAGCCTTCTGACTGACTGAAGACACATTTCAACCGATGCCAAAAACTCTTAGTTGCTATGGTAACTCTTGTAGTAATAGTGTCTTTATATATCTTTTCTTTGTTTCTCCTGCTATACTCAATATGAACACTGCTTTCTAGAGATGCTTTCACACAGGCACAGTGAGAAACAGTCAGTAACAGCATATATGGGACTCACCCAGGCAGCGGTAGGGCACCACAATGTGCAGGTGACTGCGACACTGCTTGCGGCCCTTCTTGCACCAGTTCTGGATGCTGACTGGCTGGTTGGCCTCCACAACGTTGGTAATCTGGAGCTCTGGGTACACCTACACACACAGTGTCATATATCATAATGGAGTCATAACGCAATAAAGCTGAACGTTTAGAATAGGTGCTCCTCTTCACATCAACATATTCTTCATATACATCACTTATAGTTCCAGTGAAACTCTTTTTAGCACCAGCTCAACAGTGGGAAAACCAAATGCAGAGCTCATGCTCTCTGTGTCCTACACACACTTTATATCCAGATATTTTTGAAACGTTTACTCCTACACTGTCCAGTTTTTTAGTGATTTGCAGCTCTTCCTCTTCCAGTGGTTTCTTTCAGAATAGCATATCTTCTGCTGTACTTCTGATAGCATATAGCTCAGTTTCTATTTCAGGGGCTGTTAATCAGCACTTTATCAGACTTGTAACGAACTCTGACCTCCGATTCTGAGGTCACCTCTGGTCTGCCTGACCTAATCTTTCTTAAACTCTTGGCTACATACAGTTCCAGCCATCTGGTTAAGCTCTTACTCATTTATTTTGAAGATAATCATTTCTTTCTTTCTTTCTTTCTTTCTTTCTCTGCATTTTTTTAACATATTCTGCTCCCGTACTTTGGGAAATGTATTTATTTCTGAGATATTCCAATCTGTACATTACTGCAGTGTTCCCTGATGTCGTTTCTGCTTGGCTCTGTTTACCTCTATGTTCCTCTCAGCCATGCATGACATCTGCCTCTGCACAATATTCTGAGTCGACGTGTCATCCCTCTCCAAATACCTCTCCCCTCATTCTTTTTCATGACACCTCCTCTTTGGTTTTTCTCTCTCAATGCAGATAATAATTCCGTAACCTTCTTGGTTCCTTGTCACGCTCATATTTGCCCAAATCGTCTCTTCCATTCAGCTTTGAGTGGGGAAAATCCTCAAGTTCTCCATATCTCTATTTTTCTTTTTGATATTCTGAAGTCCTAAATGTTAAAATGTTTAAAGCCGGGATCTAAGACTGACTGTTTGTTATCGCTGGATGCATTATCAGTGGTAACAATGGAAATATGAGCTTATCTTCCTTTGATTCTGCCTCACATGCTTTTTCAGAGAAATCTCATTATGCATCACCTCCTCTTATCAGGCAGGCTTTTCTTACACAGTGCATTTATGCAGTGAAAGCCTGTGAAATGTGGTCGCAGGAGAAAAATCCCAATTTCAGACACCACCACAGTCAATTTATGAATGTCAGGCGTCAGGGGTGTGTTCAAAGCCACGGTTTTCATTGGCCGAACAACAACAAAGAGGTTCACTGTGCTGTATTTCTGTTTTTGGTTTGGTTAGCTTCATACTGCCTAATTAAAATCCATCCAGAGCTTTTAAAGTAAAGTCACATGGACTTAAGCAGCTTGTTTACTGAGCCGAGTTTTGGCATCATGTCATCTTGCCAAATTGGGGATTTTGGTGAGTGAAAACAAATCTGCTTGCAGGCTCTGTAACCCACTCACTCTTCTGTGGTCTTATATTCTCTCAAACTAACAAGAACAAGCACCTCAGTCTGCCCTCTAATTTACCAAAATACCTGGTTTTGTGTAGTTGGTTGCAGATTGCCAAAAGGAAAGAAACTTCTTTTTGGGTGTCATTTTAAAAATTATTCTCATTTGCCCAAACACACCAAAATAAAATTGTAAATTAAAGGAAATAATCTAATCTTGCTTGTTGTGAAAACTCCCCTAAAGTGTTCTCAATAAAGTAGCTGCTCTGCTACCTGCTCAATCATTGTAATTTGCTCTGAGAGTGTCAGTTTAATGGCTGAAATGTAAATTCTCCGACCTAAAAATGCAACTAAAATGTCACAGCCATAAAAATTTATCATCTGGGCTTATTGCTCGCTCAAAACAAAATAAACACTGGGTAATTACAGTTTAAGTATTCCATGTATCATAGCATACGTGGCCAAACGAGAGCCATTCTGAAAGGCATGACAGGTAGCGAAAATGATGATTACAATGGTCTGAGAGGAAATGACCTCTCTAACCTAACTAATCTCGGCTGCTACCAGACACCGAAATGTTACCTTCACACGGTTATTATTTTTTTAATGCGCTCCCGACACTCTACATCTATATCCCACACCTTTTTCTACACCCCTTTAGGCGGATTCACTACAATACAATAAAGATTCATATCAGCTTTAAAGGGTGGATTAATATGATCATGGAATATCAGACGTCATTGATTCCACAGGGGAAATAAACAGTTAAAACGGCTGCTGTTGGGTCCCGCGCTTTACCTCCTGGCAGTACTGCAGGATGCCCTCCTTGGTGCCGATGCAACTCTTGGTGCCCGAGGGGTCCGGCTCCCACTTGCCGCTCTGCACGTTGATGTGCATGTTGAGTTTACCGCAAAACATGGCCACCTGGGGCTCTGCCAAGAGACCCATCGAAACATCTGTAGGCACCTGGGGGTGAGGAGAGACGGACAAGAGAGAGAGAGAGAGAGAGAGAAAGAGAGTGGGAGAGAGATTTAATGAGATATACCACTCGTGTTAAACTCCTTGAGCACTTGTGCTGAAAAATGCAAGACGGATGCAATTAAATTTTATTACTTAGATAGAGGGGAGCCGGGAGAGGCGAGGAGATTAGCGTGTGAGATGAAAAGTAAGATGAGGTGAGGTAGTTTGAGCTGAGAGCAGTGGGAGAGAGAGGATGGAAGGAGGAAGAGGAAAGCTAAAGACTAGGTGTTGGCGAAAGGAGGGTAAGAACAAATTTTCCTCTCCCAGTTTCAACAACATTTAGGTTGGATTTCTGCTCCTATAATCAAACTCTTAACCATGGCAGTGCTAGTGCCATACTCAATGCCTCTGTTCGTGTTTCCAATTGGGAGTTGTCAAATGGGAAAAATCCTGCTGAAAACAAGTGCAAAAATAACAAAAATCGATAGCTTTAGAGGAATAAATTGCCTTAAACAACAGGCCTGGAGCAATCCAATACACCCTCTGTTGTCTATGATGTTCATGCACAAGTACACACACCCACTCAACTGCCCTGTGCAATACCATTTATGGGAATAGTGTACATCGCTGTGTCCGTGCAGGCTTTTTGTTTTTGCGTTTTTCCAGGACAGTATAGTGTTTATATAACCTCTGTTGATTCATCTTTGGTTCATTTCTCTCTGTCAGAGTGAGCACAAGAGCAGGTTGGCTGGAGGCAAGGAGAGTGTGCGTGTGTGCGTACGCAAACGTGTGTGCGAAAGAGAAAGTCCGCCTTTGGCATGAATGCATTAATTTTTGTGTTAATTTACACTCCTGTGTGTTGGTTTGAGCCTCTGCGTGTGTGTGTGCTATTGCTGTCTGCCTGCATAAGGAGGTTTTGTGCTGAAGTTCCCTTAGGAGAGGAGGTGCAGACAAACTACTGAATGTCTGCATTGTACTGGCAAATGAGCTAGAACAAAATGGGAGGGAATAGGGGGGAAAAAAAGAGAAGGAGACAGAGGGAGGGAGGAGAGGGACTGTTGCCATTGTGTGCTCCCTAATCTTGTTAATGGTTTTGAAGGCCCTGGCAGGCAAACAAATGTTGTTTTGTGAGATGGATAGCATATTTTTTCCTCCAGACTTGATTCTCTCCAAGCAGCCAGGGGGCATGAAGTGCTCTTCCAATATGAGAATAGCTGGTGGGGGCCATCAATTTGGATACATCAGAAGTTGAAAACTCAAATCTTTGAATCGATTTAGCAGTCATCTATCTGGTGTATCGGTGGAAGGATGAACTTTCATTATATTCCGTTTATACACACTGACTGTATTTACACACTTGGCAGAAGGAGAGGACGGCGCTTTGTGGAGCTGTTACTTCCTTTTCTATTTATCACCTGATTGTGCTTAGAGACGCCAGGCTGAGCAGAGCAGAAAGCTCGTCAGGTTCACACAGATGAGGTGAAGGCAGTAAAATTAACGCCTGTATGGGAGGTAATACAGTTGTTTTATTGCTCTGCGTTATATTTTAGAGCTCTGTTAATACTTCAATAGGTGAAAGGTGGGGGTTGGTGGAGGCTGTGACGGCTGCAACATATTTACACCCCGAGAGAATCAGATTTCTGGACTGCAGTATGTTTATACAGTGAGTCGCAGTAACAAAAACTATTTTTCGATCAAAGGCAAACTGAGCAAAGCCATTCATGTGATTGGCTGGCTGCTCGTTCAGACCAAAGCCAATCACATGACCGACTCTGTTATTTCTCTCTTTATTGACAAAGGCTTTATTGAAATATACTGGAACACTGAAACCCAATTGCGAAATAACAGACATTGGGAAATAAAGCTACAAAATGACCTCAAATGAATATCTGCTATTGTGAAAAGAAGCAGGGTGAAGTATTCTGTAATGCTGAGCTGAGAGTTTTAAAATGCAAGTTCATTTCACAATCTCATGGTCATATAACATATTTTGTCTGTATTTATTAAGATGGTTGTTTGAAATGTCTTATTTATTCATTATTGAATGATTATTGATTATAATACAATGTTACAACACAGCTGTTGATTTCTATTGTCAGTTAACATTTCCTGCTTTCTACAGCCTTTAACCAGAAAATAATTCCAAAATAGCCTCAGGTTTTGGGGAGTCATAAACCGCAAAATGACATACCTATCAGTCAGTATAGACCGGGTTTGTTGGTTTATTGGAACTATGTTAGAGTGAACTCTGAGATTAGATCTGTTAATCAGTCCCTCCAGGATTTTGCTGGCTTTTTTTGGGGGGGATTGTTGTGGCCTAAAATGGCTGATTTCACGGCAGCTTTTCTAGAAGAAAAAAAACAAACTGTGAAGCATGTTACGTCTTTTAGGCATTTTTTTTGCGATTAAACTGCAGCAGAAAGTAAAAAAAGGCAAAAATCAATGCAACTTCTTTTGTATAATTGATTAAATGTTGAAGGCAACTTGTTCCAGGGATATTAAAATTGCTGGTAGTTTGATGACGTACGGCTCCGGGGACTGCTATAATTGGCGAAACTCGTGGGAAACAACACTGATTCGTAAAATTAACAGAAAAGGTGAGTTAGCATGTATTCTATAGAACTGATATGATCGATAACACACTTAAAATATTCACTAAAAGCTATGTGATTTAGTCTATGTTAAACTGTCTACTGCAGTCTATTAATTTAAAGTCACATTTCACTGCAGTTTGGAGCCAGGAGGATTGTTTTAACATCATTTCTGTTTCTCTATGAATAAAAGGAAAACAACTGTCGGAAAGGCTCATGATGTGTTCTTGGAGGTTCCAGCATTTACTGCAGTCAAATGAGGGTAAAAACAGCGCACACAGATCAGTGTAACCTGATCCCTTGGGTCAAATATGCACCTGCAAAGTTCACATCCCTCACAAGCCGACATGATGAGCCGCAAGCTGTAGTAGCACGGAAATGAGTAAATCCCACACACACACACACACACACACGCACACACGCACTGTAGGTAAAATCCCGTCTTGCCCCCAGCCCTCCTCAGCTCCGACACATGGCAACTTAACACTGGTGGCCATCAGTCTTGACACGGAGCCATCTGCAAGCACGCGGGGTTATTTAGAGGTTTGTCGCTCGATTCCCACACTACCATCTGTGAGCGAGCGGCGCTAAAGGGGACCGGATCACATCCCATTTTGCTCATTAATAGTAAAAACCCAGGGCGAACTGAGAGCAGAGAGTTTTCAAATAATCTTTAAAAAGTCATCTGCATGTGTACTATCTTTTAATTAACTGACTTATTGGGTGCCCACTTTCGTTTTGACCTTATCTGCCCACCCTCTGGCCCCTCCAGGTCGCTTATTGAAAGAGATAAACCCGCTTCCTCTCCGCTTGAGGCATAGGTAGGCAAATTTGTGCCAACTGCTCGCTGACATTCAAATTCTTTGTGTCGTCCTCTTTTGGCTGGCAAATCATATCCTCGCCAAATCGCTCTCCCTTCTCCTTCCTGCCTCTCCGCTGCTATCTCTCCACCGCTCTCTGTCTTCTGCTGGAGGAGGAGGAGGAGGAGGAGAAGGAAGGTGGAGGGGGGTGGGCCAAGCCTTCGCTGCAAGCTTATAAATCAGAGTCCCAGGATGATGGCGAAGGCGGGGACGGGGGGAGTGAGAGGTGCAATGCCAAGCTAACAATCTTGACATGGGCTAATGTTTGAGGACTTCAATTTTGGAATATAGACGTCTTCTAATTATCGATGGTGTGGCGCCAGCAGGGCCAGATAAGCTTAAATTCCTTTCACTGGTGTATTCCGAGTGGATTTAAATATGGACCCAACCCCTGGCTTGTTTTTCATTGTTGATATTCTTTGAACTGTCAATGAACTATGCTTCCTTCTGATCTTTGCAGATACTTATTTGACTTTTGATGGCTCTCATTATTTGTCAGCAAACCAATAACCTCAAGGGTATTAACAATAATCAGAATTTAGTGTGATTAAATAGTTTAAAAGTACATTGAAAGCTTAGGAAATTATTTAATTTTTGTAAATTGAGAATCTGTCTTTTTGCTTCATAGTTGCATTCCAAAGAGCATTCTTGTTGGGGAGGTAGAATCAGCACGCACAGGCAGTATGTGGACTGGGGGAACTATCTTTTCTCGGAGTTCACATTCTCATATAGCAATCAGCCTTCCTAATTCCCCCTGGGCTTATATCCCTGTTAGTTACAGAGTGATGGGACAATATCATGCCAGATTTAAGAGAACCAGAAAGGGTTGGTGATTGTTATTTCTCTCTGATTCTCGGAAGACAGTGACTGTCCTTTAAATTCCTCTCAATGTGCACCAGATTAACTGCTCTCTCTCCCTCTCTCCCCCCCCACATCTCGCGCGCTGCAGGGTAATATTGTGATACGGCTTAGCAACGAACATGGACTAGAACTGTTAATATAACAAAGAGCTAGATTGATAGGATTTAAAACGCCACAAGAAAGAGGAGGAGATGGGTGAGAGAAGGAAGGGAAGGGATGCTCTTCTTCTTAGTGGAGATAACATTTTGTCTACACACTCCACTGGCTGATGATGTCGTCAATACTCCATTTGTCAAGTCATGCCTATCCTTCCCAGTTCCACTAGTTGCTAGACTCAGGGTAGACTTCCCAAGCCATTGCCAGAAGGAAACTAAAATAAAAAAAAAAAAAAAAAAAACCCAGCACTCTCACATTTTTTAAACATCGGAGTGCATATTCAACATACTAAATTTAAACGGTAGTACGGGGTATGTGAATATTAAAATGCACCACCAACCGCTGGTTGCTTTATAATACCATTATTCATCTCCACATCAATCTAGGAGTATTTTAGAAGGAAGTAGCCGTGATATATTTCTGTAACACAAGTATAATCAGCGGCCTTCCTGTTTGCAACCAACCTCATCATACTTGATAAATGTAAACGGCCATTCCGAATGTTCTATCCGTTTCACGAAAAGAGCTGAGTAGGGTA